GGACGTGGGGGCGAGGGCCCCGGGGGCAGCACGGCCTATGTCGTGTGTGGGGTCATCAGCTTCGCCCTGGCCGTCGGCGTTGGCGCCAAGGTGGCCTTCAGCAAAGCGTCGCGCGCGCCCAGGGCGCACCGGGAGATCAACGTGCCCAGGTGAGTGTGTACTGGGACAAATGCCCTGACCCTGGCGGGGCAACAGGTCAGGGGGCACTAAGGTGAGGTGGACGGGGCAGGGATCCCCTGGGCCTGGGCCTGAATCCACCGGGCTGTGAGCTACAAGAAGGGGAGCCCAAGCCCCACTGCATCAACAAATATTTATTTCTTGAGCTCCGTTTTTGCAGCAGGAGTTAGAATGTAGCAGGAGCAGGTCAAGATCCTGCCAGCACAAGTCTGCCCATCTGGGCATGGTGCTTGGGCCGTCACTGCCTAGTTCCCTTGTCTGTAGAGTGGACTAATAACGGTTCCCACTACTGGGTTGTAATGAAGACTCGCTGAGTTGATGCATGCTGAGTCCTGGTGTGCAGAGAGCTCATGAAATGCTGGTGATGTGGTCAGTCAGCCAGCAAGCACATAAGGAATTTTACATGCGGGTACCATTGGTGAGGAACACAGCCTCATGAAGAGTTGGGTGTGTGAACTGGAAGAGGGCTGCTTTAGACTAAGTGGCCAGAGAAGGCCTTTCTGAGCAGGGTGCTGCTGGAAGAGTGGGTGCCCAGCAGGTGTCATGTGTAAAGGCTGTGTGGTGACTGGGGCCAGACCTGAAAGGAGCTGGGGCAGCCAGAGGTGAGGGGCACAGGCAGGGGGGGTTCCTGCAAATGTGAGCACCCTGGGCTCTGGGCAGCACTGCCCAGGGGCATAAAGGCAAAAGAAAAGAGAGGGATCTCGGGGATCCTAAGGTTTCTGGTCTGTACCCTGGGGGAAAGAGGATCCTTGGACTGCAGTGAGGACAGGACCAGCTTCCAGATTCACCTTGGGCCTCTGAAGGTGTGGGGTCCAGATGACTTGGAAGGCGAGGAACCCTCAGTGTGGCCTTGGAAGGGGCATGCGAAAGGAGGGGAGCAAGGCCTAGCGGACAGCCTCTCCATCCAGAGGACTGGGAGCCCAAGGGCCCCCCCCCCGCCCCGCTGCTGACCATTCATATTCTGTCACCCTCAGGGCTTTGGTGGACATTCTGAGGCACCAGGGGGGCCCTGGGACCCGCCCGGACAGAGCCCGAAGCAGCTCCCTGACCCCAGGGATCGGGGGTCCCGACAGCATGGGCCCCAGGACACCCAAAAACCTCTACAACACCATGAAGCCATCCAACCTCGGTGAGTGGGACTATCTGGCCCCCCTCAGGGCTTGCCCTTCAAGTTGTGCCCCACCTTCTGACACATCCCGGGTCCAGCACCCCAGTGCTGGCCCCAGCCCATCCCAGCCTTTAGGCCTGGGGATAAGTTCTCACCTGCTTTTGGCGGCTTAACAGGGCCCTGGGAACTGTTCTGGCCCAGCAGCTGAGAAGTCCACTGGCTGCGGGGGAGAAAGGGCCCCATCTGGCTTGAAGGAAGGCGGATTTCCCCGGAGATGATGTTTGAGCAAGGGGCTGGGGGGAGGGGAGCTCCAGGTGGCTGAGAACCCCGAGAGCGGGGTGTGGGGTGTGGGGGTGGACTCCTGAGGCCTCGGAACCAAGCTGAGCAGAGCAGCTACACCCTTGTCGAAGGGCAGTGGGGAGCCATGGAGGAGCTCGGCGCAGAGCTCCCTGTCACCAGTGGAGGGAGGACGTCTCTGAAGCTGTGAGAACGGAGAGGTGAAGGGACAGAGGCCAAAAGGAGGCGGGGTGATGTCCAGGCAGCCAGGGAGCACAGAGCTGGGCCTGGTGAAGATCAGGCCTTGGGAGCTGGATCTTGAGGGATAAAGGGTCCTTCAGACGGGGGCGGGGGCCCAGGCAGGGACACAGCTTAGCATGCGCTAAAGCCCTGAGGCAGCCTCAGAGCAAGAGCAGCTGGAACAAGGGACAGAGATGGCGCTGCACTCACTGGCCAGGCCAGGTGCCGTTTGCATGTACCCTTTTGTCCCCAGAGCAATGTTGAGCATGGGGCTGTCAGCAGAAATGCTGTGTAGGTCTAACCCCAAACATGGGCAGGCCAGTCAGCCACAGGCTAGATGATGGCCTTGAGAGCTGGGGGTCAGGAGGACCCAGGGAGTGGAGATAGGCCCTCTCCCTCTTGTACCCACTAGGCCCCTCCCTGCAGCCCCCAGCCTGTTTCCTTTGAGGCCAATGGTATGGTGTCACCGCGAGGCCCTACAAAGCTCTGGACTTGAGCTGGGTTTAGGGCCAGGATCTAGTGGACAGCACGGCGGCACAGCTGGGGCGGCGGTGACGGTGACGTCGCCTCCCTTCTTGGTCCCCTCAGATAACCTGCACCACAACTACCTGCACCTCAACGTCAGCAGCCCCACGCACCACTCTGCCACGCTGGGTACGCAGAGGGCTCTGCCGCCTCCTGCCGCAGCCTCAGTGCCCTCCAGGGGGCCCGGAAGTGGTCTTCTCTCTCCACCAAGTGGGGGAAGCTGGGGGATGCACCCCACATCCAGGGGAGACCAGGGGTGTGGGCAGATGCCAGATCCTCATGCGGGAGGTGTCTTTCTTCCCAGTAGAACCTGTCTCCTGAACTGCAGGGACCCTTAAACTGCTGCAGTGTGTGTGTGTGTGTGTGTGTGTGTGTGTGTGTGAGAGAGAGAGAGAGAGAGAGAGAGAGAGAGAGAGAGCTGGAACCACAGTTTTCCAGTCCTCCAGGGCCAGGCCGGACCACTGGGCCCGAGGGAGGAGGCCAGGCTGGACCCCGGGCCCAAGGGAGGAGGCTGGGTTGGACCCCGAGCCCTCTGGAGGAGGCTGGGCTGACCTGGCCCCTCTGCCGCAGACTGGCGCGCCGTTCCCCCACCCAGCCCCCCGCTGCACTATTCCACGCTGTCCTGCTCCCGGTCCTTCCACAACCTTTCGCACCTGCCCCCCTCCTACGAAGCGGCTGTGAAGTCGGAGCTGAACCGATACTCCTCCCTCAAAAGGCTGGGTGAGTCGGGGCGGCCCCAGCGCGGATATGGGTCGGGGCTGGGGGTCAGGACCATGGACAGTAGCTCGATCCGGGGCTCTAGGCTGTCTTCTCAAGCCTGAGGACACCGTGCGTGGGTGCGTGCATGCGTGCGTGCAGTCCCAGCCGCTGGTAGGCCGAGGCCAGCCCGGGCTACAAAGGGAGACTCAGGCTCAGAATCCAAGCTCTGGCGTCCCTGTTTGGCCATACCAGGGGGCCTGGCCCTAGCTCAGGCCTTTAAGTGGCTGCTTCCACAAAGCTGTCAGCCTCAGGTTGCTGGAGTTCGAACCTCACACCTCTCCAGCTGGTCAAAAGTGCCCTGAAGGCATTCGAGGAACAAAAAACAAAAAAACAAAACAAAACAAAACAAAAGCCTTATTCCTGTTTGGCCATACACATCCCTTAACCAACTGCTGGCAGTGGTGAGGCTTTCAAACACTGTAAACTGAGAGGTTCAGGGAAAATGAGTTCTTCTTGCCCTGGCTTGTGAGATCCAGATACATACAGGGTTTTTTTCCTTATCACATATTTTTCATTACAAAAAGTCTGAAGCTTTTTATTATGGATATTTAAAAACATTTTTAAAAGTAGAGAAAAATCAACCAATGGATCTCGAGTCCCTCCACCTGCTCTAGTCCCGGGCGTTTAAAGGGACCTCGGCCACCCGCCCAGTATTTGATCCTCCAGTACTGCCCCCAAGCGCACACCAAAGCCTTATTCCGCTATCCCACAGATTCAGAGTACGTTTTATCTTCTTTCCTCCAACTCCTGGGCACTCCCCACCAAGCGACTTCACAGTCCACCCGGGAGTCAGTCAGTGGACTCCTGCAAGCGTGACAGACACTGCCGTGGGAACAGGGGAGGCGGCCCCAGCTGGAGTGGGGTTCTCTTCCGGCGAAGAGCGCTGCACAGAGGCCCAAGGAGGGAGGTGGGAAGGGGACGGCTCCCTAAGGTCGCCGCTCCCGCCTTTGTGGGGGCTCTGCCGGTCATACCTGAGGTCTTGGGGTGCAGCGCGGCTCGGGCTGCCTTCTACCCCGCGCCCTGCCTCCGTCCCCAGCCGAGAAGGACTTGGACGACGCGTACCTGAAGCGGCGGCCTCTGACCGAGGGACCCCGCGGAACGCTGCCTCTGCACGCATTGCGGCGCCCGGGAACCGGGGGCGGATACCGCACCGACGCCTGGGGACCCGAGCCGCTGGGTCTGGCGCCCGCGCCACACCCGCGCCGCGTGATGTCGCAGGAGCACCTGCTGGGCGACGGCGGCCGCTCGCGCCACGAGTTCACGCTGCCGCGCGCGCGCCTGGTGTCGCAGGAGCACCTGCTGCTGTCGTCGCCCGAGGCCCTGCGCCAGAGCCGCGAGCACCTGCTGTCGCCGCCGCGCAGCCCCGCGCTGCCCCCCGAGCCTGCGGCGCGCGCCGGCCTGGCCGCCTCACACTCCAACCTGCTGCTCGGGCCCGCGGGGCCGCCCACCCCACTGCACGCGCTGCCCCCCGCCGGCCTGCACGCGCCGCTGCACCACCACGCGCTGCACGGCTCCCCGCAGCCTGCTTGGGCCGCCGAAGGCGGGGGGACGCTGGCGCGGCGCGCGCCCTTCCAGCGCCAGGGCACGCTGGAGCAGCTGCAGTTCATCCCGGGCCACCACCTGCCGCAGCACCTGCGCACCGCCAGCAAGAACGAGGTGACCGTGTGACCCCTGCTCCCGGACGTCAGCGCCGCGGAGGAGGAGGCTGCACACGACGTACCGGCGATGGGGGCGGGGTCCTGCCCTGCGGGGTCACTGCAGGAAGGACGCCGCCTTCCCATCCTGTCATCACCGAGGACCCTGCTGCCTCTGCGGGTGTCACTCATGCTGTGTCCGCTTCCTGTGGCGCCACCACGAAGACCCCTGCCTGTGGTGTCACCGACAACAATGCCTTGTCCCATAACATGGTCCCCAGAGACAAAGATCGCCTCCTCTGATGTCACCTCCGAGGCAGTCTCCCACTCCGAGGTCATCTTTGGCCCAAGACCTCCGAGCACCATACGCACAGAGAATCGGTTTCTTCCTGTGTCCTCCATGGAGAGGATGCCTCCACCCAACGCTGTCACTGCTCCAGTCAAAGCCATCTCCTGGGGACACGCTGTGGGGAAAAGCCCTGCAACTGCGTCCTCACCTGTGACGTGGCCTCCTTTCCACGACACGATCACAGGACTCTGCCTCCCCCTCCCCATGATGCCATCGCCAGAGAAGGTGCCTTGCTTGCCCCGTGAGGCCATCAGAGGGACCAGCCTCCTGGGATGTAACCAGAGGTGACAGTCTGCTTCTGGGACCCCTGCGGGGAACTACTGCAAGGTCTCCGCCGGATGCAACACCGCTGCTGCTGCTGCGCTTTGCGCTGAGGGAGGGTGCATGCGCCAGGCCCACCCCGGGAGAACGTCGGCGACAGGAGCCCGCATCCGAAGGCTGCCCTGGCCCGAGGCCCCTCCCCTTGGCGATGGTCAGTCTGTGAGTGGGCGCTGGTGGCGCCCCTGCATAGCCATGTCGCCACCAGGAGTGTTCTCAGCAGCGCGGCCAGTGCTTCTGGCTCCTCCCACTGCGACCTGGCCTGCCGACTCCTTCCCCAGACCCAGGGGCTGCCAGTCTGCCTACCAGGCCCTGTGAGGGGGAGCCAAGCCCCGGGTCCCAGCCCCATGTGGGACTCCCCACAGATGGCACCCTCTGTCAGCTTCCTCTCCCAGGAGGTTCCCAGACGCCTAGGGCTTGTAGGTGGCCCAAAGACTAGCGCCACTTCCTCCTGCCATACCTAGAGATGCCATCGACTCTGCCATCGAAGTCCTAGCTTCCTGTTGGAGGGGAGGGCTGAGGGTGCCCGACCTTGACTTTGCCAGTGACGCCACGCGTGCCATGCAGCGTGCCCACGCGTCATGGTGTTGCGCTTGGGGTGAAATGTTCACCAAGCCATTCCCCAGGGTTCTGTGACCCACCTCGGTTAGTGCTCCATGCTCTTCCAGGACTCACCACGCCCAACAGCGTCACCATCAACCAACCATGACTCCTCCCCACCACGGGGCTGCCACCTCCCAGGCGCCATGGAGCACCCCAACAGTGTCTTCATATCCCAGGGCGTGTGAGGGCAGTGGTGTCGTCACCTCCATGGTGCCTAACACTATCACCGTATCTATGGAGATCCATGAAAGCCATGGTGGCACGACCCGTGCAGAGTGCGCCAGCTCCGTGCTGTCACACTCCAGGGCTGTCACCTCCCTCAGAGGTGGAACTGCCTCCTAGGATCAACACAGCCATGAAGCCATTGCTTCCCAGGATCCACCAAACCACAGTCATCACCCCTAGGAACATGAGAGCCAGAGGTGACTTTACGCCCCGGGACGACGTCAACCACAGTATGTCCATGTCCTGGGATGACGAGGGCCAGTGCTGTTCTCGCCACTGAGTGCACTTCAACCTTGCGCCACCACCTCCCCTCACCAGGCGACCCATGATATCACGTGCTAGATACCCACCATGACCACGGGGCCATCACCACCTTGTCCCCAAGACTCAGATCACCATCAGCTACACAGAGCCGCCATGACCATGGCACCACCTCATCTGAGACCCGTGATGTCATCTGCACCAAGATCCGCCATGACCATGGCGTCCCCTCATCCACAAGAACAGTGATGTCATCAGCTGCAGAGAGCTGCCGTGACCAAGGCCTCCTTCCCTTCTGCCATCAGCGAGAACCGACGGGGTCATCACTTACCGAGCCCCCGACAGCATCACCTCCTCACGCATCCACAGTGCTGACGATGTGGCCAGCTCCGGAGAGCCGTGATGAGCAGTGTCGCCACCTCCCGGAGCCTCTGGCCACGGGAGTATGGTGTCACAGAGCACATTTTAACCATGGCGTCGTCCCCTCCAGGACCCATGACACCCAGTGCACCATCATGGACCCGGAGCTGCTCCGACGGAGTGCTGTGTGTGGTCACCTCCCGGAGCCCCCACCTTAGGACCAGACACTGACAGGCTGTTTGTCCTCCAGGGTGCTCTGGCATTCACAGCTCCCTCCAGGAGACCAGCGCAATGTGCGAGCCAGCTGTCCCCTCTGGGGACAGCATGGCACTCTGGCCCCTCAGATCCATCACTGCCCCGCTGTCCACCTGGATGGACGCCAAATCCAGCCCCAGGCATGGCTTCTGAATCTGGTGAGGGCACCTGGGTCTCCTGGCCAAGGCACTGCCTCGCCTGGCTGTCAGGTTGGTGACAGGGCGGACAGTGGCATGTGATCACCACTGAGATGGGGATCCTGAGCCCTGGGCCCTGCTGGCCCTGCTGTCCTCTGCCCTGTCTGTTCCCTGGACCACCTTGAATACAGTTGCTGGTAACGCCACACCCACTTTCGAGCTCTGGTCAGCAGCTGGGGAGCTCTGTGCGGTCCCCACCACCTGCCCCCTCCCCCGTCTGTCCCCAGCTCTGTACACAGCCATGTTGCAGGGCACTGCTCCCAACTCTTAAAGGGCTACACCCCTCCCCAGCCCCTGGATGAGGTGGGCCCCTCCTAGGGCTCCTCCCAGTTGCTGGCCCCTGGGTTTCCCATGTCAAGAGCTCGGGGAAGGTGCTGGGCTGCCACTACAGAGGAGGATAGGGGCTGCCCCAACCTGCCAGGCCCCAGCCAGCTTCACACCCCTCGCAGCGTGCTCAGCACCCAGCAAGACTCTGCTTCCACCTCCCAGGTGGGGTTCAGCTGTGCACTCCCTCCGCCCGCTCTCCTGCCTGCCCCTGCTTTCTTGGCACAGGTGGCCTGATGGGTGCCCTAACCGCTCACCTCAGAGAAGCCATAGTGGGGAGAAGTCTCGGGGTGACCACCACTGCTGTACAGAGTGGCACCCGAGTGCCACCCAGCTGGGGACTCAAGGGGCTGTGGCCAACAGAAGAAGAGCAGCTCTGGGCCTGAAGACACCCACACTCTGCCCTCCCACCCCTGGCGCCCCACGCCACCCTCTGACACTGGCTCTGCCTCGTTCCTGCTCAGGCCGCAGAGGAGCTATGACTCGGTATTTTTGGAATAAACAGATGTTTTCCTGATCCACGGTCCCTGGAGTTTCCCCCAGTCAAGGATGGGCCCCCCACCAGTGAGTGGTCCCTGGCCCCAGTGGTAGCTGAGCGCAGGGCCCACTAGGAAGGTGCGTCTCTGGGTCAGCTTCCTAGGGCTCAGGGACCCTCTTCTGCCTTGTTCCCCCCCCCCCAGGCTGGGTGATGGGGAGCACTGGGATTGAGCCAGGCTTTGCACTGAGCCCCACCTGCAGCCCTTATTTCATTTTGAGCCAGGGTCTCGCTCAGCTGGGCTTGAACTTGGGATCCTCTCCCTGTGCCCTGCACCCCAGCTCCTAAGCCCTCAACCTCAACCCAGCAGGCGGTCCTTCTTTGTGACTCCTATGGCCAACACAACAGGAACATGATTTACAGCTAAACCCATCACCTCCTGAGTCTGAGGTTGGAGCTGGAAGCCAAGGTGTGTGGGTTGGCTTCTTCCTGGGTAGAGCTGGCCCCAGGCCTCTCTGGTGGCCCATGGTGGCAGAGGCAATCCCAGATGTCCTCTGCTATGGCCTTTTCTGAGACACCGGTCACACTACACAAGGGCCTTCCCGACTTCGATGTCCACCTCTCCTCAGACTTCCTTTCCAAATACTGGGGCATTAGGGCTCCAGCTTTTTGTAAGTTGCCCTGGCTGGTCTCAAACTCACCACCCTCCCGCATCAGCTTTCAAGTACCAGAGAAACAGGCCATTGCTACCATATGCGAGTCCAGCATCTTTCTTGAGGGGTACAGAGGTGTGGCCCTGTCCCAGTCCAAGGGTGGGCTGTGGTACCTGGAAGTGCTCTCCTGCCTAACCCCACCAGGGTTCACAGGTTCTCAGTGGGTCTGCACCCAGCACCCAAGCGGGCGCCTCTGTGCGGAGCCTCATGCCTGGCCTCAGAGCTGTCAGGAAATAGAGGCAGAGAGGGGAGAGGGAAGGAACGGGGAACAGAACTGTTGGGGTGACACAGCCAATCGCACTGCTCAGGAGGCTGGAGGGTCACAAGCAGGAAGCTGGGGGGCTGAGAAGGCAGGGATGCCCAGGCAGGGCTGGCCGTGTCGAGCAGCAAGCCAAGCACGGCAGCCGAGACTCCGTGAGCCTCTCCGGATGGCCGCGTGTAGGCTGCCAACAAGAGTGACGGCGACAATGTCGAGGAGCAGTGCCCAAGTCCTCCATTACTCCCCAGGGCACAAGGTGGGACCTGCAGGACCTGTGATGAGAGTGCCAGGATGGAACCCAAGGCCTTCTCCTCACCCCTTCTTAAAAGTATTTGTGGTGCTGGGGAGATGGCTCAGCAGAGTAAGCGCTTCCCTGGCAAGTGTAAGGGTCTGGGTTCAATCCCCAGTTCCACCAAAAAAAAAAAAAAGTACTTGAGACAGGATCTCACTAAGTCACGAAGCTGCCCAGGCTGGGCTCAAATTGTGATCCTCCTCAGCTGCCCACAGTGCTGGGACCACAGGTGTGCACCCCTATGCCCAGCTTAATTTTTTGGTTGTTGGGTTTTTTAAATTGTTTTTTGAGACACAGCGCTAGTATGCAATTCAGGCTGGCTTTGAACTATTTGGCCCAGGAGGTCGTCAAGTGCACTGCAGTCATTCACCAAGGGGTGATGTGTGGGGTGGGAAAGGTTTCAAATGCAGTGGGGCCTCAGATTTGTGATGGAAAGCAGGAAGTAAGCCTGCAAGGCAGTGAGTATCTGTGATCCCAGCACTCTGAGGCTGAGGCAGGACTGAAAGTTTGAGCCTAACCTAGGCTTTGTTATTATTTTTCTTATGTATTTGGTACAGGGTCTTCCTACGTAGATCAGACTCCTAGTGATTCTCTTGTTTTCAGCCTCCCAAGAACTGGGATTACAGGCACTTGCCACCACATGCAGTCTTAACAGCCACCTCAGCAGGCCCCGCATAGCATGCCGGCTGCTGCGCTCCGCCCAAGCAGGCTCTTAGTCCTCTGAGCTATCTGGCCAGCCCTACTGCATGATTTAAATCCCGTCTCAGAATAAAGAATAAAGGGCGGGGATGTAGCTCAGGTGAAGCCTCTAGCTTCGAGGCCAGGGCTGCAAAAGTGAATGAATGAGGCTATGGCCAGGGCCCCTCCACTCGCCAGTGTGTGGGGAAGCGACATGTCCTGGGATATCAAGCCGTGTGCCGCCCGCCCACCCCGCCTGCACTGTAAGCTGCCCTGGCCTCCCACTCCGCCTGTGAGGCACCTGGGGCCCCAGGGCGCCCCTTCTGCCCTGCCCCCGCCCCCGCCCCTGTTGGTAGTGTCCAGAGGACCCTTCCTCAGAAGCCGCCTGGGCATCCTGCCCTGCTCCCTGTCCTCTGTCCCGGCACCCACTGGCCTACCACTGGGCCCCTACAAAGAGGCCAGTTCCATCTGGGACTCCCCCAACTCTTGCAGCATCTTTTTTTTTTTCTTTGTATTTTAGTACAGTCTACACGGTCTCACTACACAGATCAGACTCATAGTGATCCTCCTGTTTTCTGCCTCCCAAGCGCTGGGATTACAGGCGCGTGCACCATGCCCAGTCTCAGTGGGCTGAGCGTGCCCCAGGGGCGGGGCCGGCACTGCAAGCTGGGGATAGCCCATCCTGCACCTGCCTAGCAGGCGCTTTAGTCCGCGGAGCTATCTGGCTGGCCCCCCGCGCAGCATCTTGGTGCCCGAAGGTGGGCAAGTGAGCACATGTGTCTGGCAGCATCAATAGCATATCCACCTGTGAGGAATAAATGAGATTAAGCGTTAAACAAATTGGAAGCCAGCCAGGCGTGATGGCACATGCCTGTAATGCCAGCCTGCTGGAGGCTGAGGCAGGAGAACTGCTCAAAGTCTGAGGCCAGTGTGGACTACACAGTGAGGTAAAGGCTAGGTCGAACTGCACATAGCAAGACCCTATCAAAAAAGGGGTGGGTAGGGCCAGTAAGACAGCTGCAGGGACTGTTTTGATCCCTGGCACCGCATGCTGTGCCAGCCCTGCCCTCAGGGTGGATTGAGCTGGCTGCAAAAAAATGGGGGGAGGGGAGAAGGAAAGAAATGAGAAACTGGGTAGTGGTACACACCTCTCATCCCAGGCTGGGAGCCCGAGTCAGGACGATCACACCTGAGCTCGGCCTATGCAAGGCAGTGACTTAAACCCTGGCTCAAAATTTTCAACAGGCCTGGGGGCGTCACTGAGCGTGAAGGCGCTGGGCCCAGCCGCGTACCACCAAAAGAAAAGCTCCTGGTCGCCCGTGGCGAACAGCCACGTGGCCGCCTGGCCTGCGGGTTCCGCTGTGCAGCCCGAGCGGGCCTGGGGACGGCGGCGGCGGCCGACGGCGAGGCGCACGCCGGGGCAGCTCGCGGGCTGCCCGGTTCTGGGGCGGCGACAGGGACTGGGCCCCGGCCTTTCACTGAGTTACGCCCACCCTCCCGCCCCTTCCCCTTTTCTTAGAAAACCTTTCTGAGAAGGGTTAAACCTGTTTGAGACAGCCGGGAGTGCAGCCCCAGCACTGTAACACGAGGCTGAGGCAGGAGGCTCGCAAGCGCGAGCACGGCGTGGGCCACTCGGCCAGGCCCTGGCTAGAAAGCAAAGTAATGTGCAGGCTGCCAGGTGGCCTGTACCCTGCTGGAGGCCCTGGTGCGATCCTGCGACGCGGCGGAGGTGGGGAGTCGGGCCGGCTGGAAGCAGTGAGGCCTTGGGGCCGGAACCCCAGGTCCCCCCTGCCACAGAAAGAGACGGAGCCCAGTGGTCACAGCCACGGCTGCTTGGGTCAAAGGTCATTTCTACCACAAAATGGCGTCCGCTGGAAAAATATAGACGGCCCTCCTGACCACCCCACGAAGGTGGAAATGCGGGGACGCGAAAGGTAGGGAAATCATTTGCATACACAAAAAACATCCAGCAATTTCATTGCCCGAGACTGCGTCCTCCCCGCTACACTGACTCCCCATTGGCCAACATCAATTCCGCCCGCCTCCCCCTGGTCCCGCCCCTTACGCCAGGGATTGGTCTGTAGGAGTCTTGTGACCCCACATCATGACTGGCCATTTCTATTGGCCGAAGCGCCTTCCATCACGTATTTAAAATCCCGAGTCCCGCCTCCCTCGCCCCGCCTCCGTCCTCAAAACAACCGTTGGTCGCGTGCGCGACTTCCTCGCAGTCAGGAAGCGCATGCGTACACCGGGCGGTGGCGGCGTCTCATTCAAACGACCCAATCAGTGGCTGCCCCGCCTCTGGTCCCTTTTTTCTTCGCTCTCGGATCTCTGGGTTTCTCCACTCTTTGGTATCCCCTCCCTGGCACCCGTGCACTCCCTCGGGCCAACCTGCCACGCGTCTCCCTTAGAAACTTCTCTTGTTTCTGTCTGCAGTTTGCGAAGAGAGGGGCAAGCGCGTCCACCGCCGAGGAACGTACGCGCTGACGTTTACGTCGAGGCGCGCCGCGGGGGTGTGGCCTAAGGGCGGCTATAAAAACACCGCAGTACGCGGCCAGCTCAGTGCGGCCGGGTACCGAGGAGGGTCGAGTGTCCTGTTGTGTGTTCCGTACTGGGTACGGGACGGGCGCGGAGCCAGAAGAGAAGGAAGAGGGGCTTTCCAGGCCTCGTCAGGGTCGAGCTGCCGCAGTTGGGCCCCCCGCCCCGGCCGGCGGCCCGAAGAACGCAGGAAGGGGGTCGGGGGGACCCGCCCCCGGCCGGCCGCCGCCATGGTGAGCGCGGGCGGCCGGGCCCGAGGGAGGCAATGGGGGCCCTCGGGAGGAGGAGGCGGAGTCCCAGGGCCTCTTCCGGGCGGCCTGAGGGCCTCGAGGGCCCCCTTGGGGTTTCTGGGCCGGGGACGGGCCCAAGGGCCTTTCGCCGGAGCCTCCCGTAGTTGCTTGGGCCAGAAAGCCCCGTGGGGCCTTGGGAGGGCTCGGGTCTCCCGGCGCCAGTTCTTGGATGCCACTGGAAGCCCGGCACTCGCCGCCGCTACCAGGCCTGACCCTCCGTTAGCACAGTGGTTTTGAAAAGATGGTAAGGCAAGGGACAGGCCGGGCCTCAGGCCTACATGGATCCAGGGTCTGTGCGGGGCCAAGGGCGGGATTTGAATATCTCAGGGGTGGGTGAAACCCTCTGGGCCCCGAGGATCCTTTCTCCCTCTCTGTTGCCTGGTCGGCCTGGGACGGCGGCCCGAGGCCTTGTTGAGGATCTCGGAGACGGGATGTCCACTAGCCTAGGACCTGCAGGGTCGAGTCCAAGGCGGCCTCCCAGGGCTGGCGACTCACCCTGGTGGTCTGTTGTATTCAGAACTCCAACGTGGAGAACCTGCCACCCCACATCATCCGCTTGGTGTACAAGGAGGTGACAACGCTGACAGCCGACCCACCGGATGGCATCAAGGTCTTTCCCAACGAGGAGGACCTCACAGACCTGCAGGTCACCATCGAGGGCCCTGGTGAGTGAGGGCATGAGCAGGGGGAGGCCACTTCCTGGTTACGGCTTCCAGCTGCGAGCCGCACAGGGCACCCATTACAGGGTGGTCCTGCCGGTGTTGGACATATGTCAGACGGACTCTTGGCTGCACAAGAGCCTTGAGAGAGTATACAGGGATCTCGGGGTGAGGCCGTCAGGTGGGTAGGAAGTGATGGAAGAGAGACTTTCAGGTACTGTTAGTAGCCTCACCCAAGGCCAGGAGGAAGGGCCAGGTGATTTGAGCCTGTGTCCTGCAGGCCCTCTTGTTTACTAGGAACAGCGTAGAGCACAAGCAAACTTGGCATTGTAGGGGACACAGGTGGGGAAGAAGCAGTTCCACAGGCTGATTGTATGGATGGGCTTGGATGCCTATATCTCATAATCTGAGCAACAACTTTGATATAACTGTGTAGTATAAAAACAATTGTTAATTTTTTTTTGTTTGTTTTCTTTTTTTTTTTTTTTGTGGAACCGGGGATTGAACTCAGGCCCTTGCGCTTGCCAGGGAAGCGCTTATTCCACTGAGCCAACCCCCCCCCCACCCCAACAATTGTTAATTTCCTATTTCTGTTTTGTACAGAAAGTGACTGAGAATTGTTTTTTGCAAAACAAGTTTCTGTTAGGGCCCAACTTCCTTAAGGCCTGCAGAATTCTTCAAGAGCCCAGGGAGAAAGAGACTGCTCTGGAGGGGTGCTGCATTTGGGGAGGACCTCCTTGAAGAGTTGACAGTTGCAGGGTTTAGCTAGCTTCATGGAGTGAATTGGGGCAGGGGATTCAGAGGATGGGCAGTCAGGACTTCCAGAACGACTTGAGGCAGGGAGGCAGGCCTGGGCTCTTGGTAGAGGTGGAGATAAAAGCAGGGAGCGATGTTTACATAGTTCTCTGTCTTGGCCTTGGGAAGAGACCAGTCCAGAGTTTTATGGAATGTGACAGCTCCCTGTAGTGTTCTTCTCCATGTGGTGGATGGGCTGGAGGCTCTGTCAGCAGACAGTTGAGAAGGGGCTGTAGGATGCTGGAGAGGGTTTGGGGCAGCTGTCCTGGATCTCACGGGGCTGGGGTCTGCTGTGGATGGGAAGTCTTTTGAGCCAGGCAAATGGGTGAGAGCTGTTCACTGGGGTGAAAAAGGCAAGGAAGACAAGTGGGTCTGGGGTCCCAGCTTTCTGTAAGTTGTATATCCTGGGCAGTCACTTAGGACAAGGGCCATTCAGTGGAGTGGAGACAGTGGAAGGGGCTGCAGGGACCTGCCTTTTTTGTTGTTTCTTTGTTGTTTTTTGTGGTGTCCCTCTAAAGTTTAGACTGGTCTTGAACTCGCTGTGCAGCCCAGGATAGCCTCAGACTTTTAGCAATCCTGCCTCAGCCTCCCTAGTCCTGGGAGGCCAGCTCGCGTGGCACCTCTTAAGGCATGGGGTGTGCTGACTTCGGCCCTTGGAGACCCAGCCCTCACTGTGCTCAAGAATGCCTGAGCCTGCCGGACACTGTGGTGCATGTCTTAATGTTAGGAAACAAGTAGGAGGCTGGCAGGGTTTTTTTTCTTCCTGCAATCAGATACGGTGTCTCACTATGCAGTTCAGACTCCTAGTGGTCCTACTGCCTAAGCCTCCCCAGCATTGGGATTACAGGCATGCACCACCACACCCAGTTTCAGAGCTGGCATGGTGCCCGGGACCAGCACAGCATGCTGTACTGAGGATCAAACTAGGATTCTTGCACTTGCCAGGCAGGTGCATAGACTGCTGAGCTGTCTCCCCAACTGGCAGTTTTGTTTTGCATTTGTTTTTTGAGGTGGGGTCTTACTATATAGCCCAGGCTATCCATGGTGTTCCTCTTACCTCAGCCTGAGTGCTGGGATTACAAGCACCACCATGTCCAGTGAGGGTTGCAGTTTAAAGGCCAGCCTTAGAAAAAGCGATGGGATAGCGCAGCGCCAAGTGCAAGGGCCTGGGTTCAGTCCCCTGAATTGCCAGAGGAAAAAGGGGATTCAGTCTGCATCTGAGTGGTAGAGTGTTGTGTTGGTTTAGCATGTCTGGCCTCTGGAGTCAGTCCCCAAGACCACAAGAAAGAAAGTCACCCACCCGATGAGAGAGGAGGTAGAGTGAGGCACCTGATTCAGCCAGACTGGAGAGGGCTTTTGGGTATTGGGAATACCACCCTTTACCTGGCCTCCCCTTGCTCTGCTCCAGAGGGCACCCCATATGCTGGAGGTTTGTTCCGCATGAAACTCCTGCTGGGGAAGGACTTCCCTGCCTCCCCACCTAAGGGCTACTTCCTGACCAAGATCTTCCACCCAAACGTGGGCGCCAATGGTGAGATCTGCGTCAACGTGCTCAAGCGGGACTGGAAGGCCGAACTTGGCATCCGGCATGTGCTGCTGGTGAGTGCAGCAGGAGCTGCTTCCTGCTCTGGGCAGTGTTGGCAGGGGTATGCGGCAGAAGAACTCGGGGCCCTGGAGCTGCTGGAGAATTGCAGAAGGACCAAAGCAAGGCGCTGGCGCCACTGCCACCCCTGCATTCTTGCTCAGGCCTTCGGGTCCTGGCCCTGCAACATGTGGTGGCCAGGGCAGCCAGGCAGTGCCGTGGCAGGCTGTGTCTGCTTAGAGGTGTTTTCGTTTGTGCATACCAGAGGTTTTCAAGTCCATAGTTCATTGGCTATTTTAATGTGAAGGTTTGTGCAGCCATAGGGCTGTCTTCTTTCCAGGTTGTTTTCCTACAACTCCCTCCCCTCCCCTAGGGCAGTGTGCCCCAGGGACATTCTACATCGTTAGGATCCTTTGGTTGTCAGGTGCTGCTAGTGTCCTGGGCACATCCCACAGCACCCACTGTCTCCCAGGGGGGCACCCTGGTGTAGGCCAGGTCTCCAGAGACCCCTTAAAAAAGGCCTTCTCTGCTCTTCCCAGAAGCTTAAAAGGTTTGGGTTTTTGTTTCTGTTTTGTTTTTCAAACAGGCTTTCTTGAGTTCAGGCTGACTTTGAGCTCACTGTGTGGTCCACACTGGCCTTGAATTCCTGGTAACCCTTCTGCCTCAGCCTCTCCAGTGCTAGGCTTACAGGTGTGTACCACACCTGGCTTAGAAAGTATTATTTAAAAGAAGTTTGTAATGAGCTTTTGGAGCAGATGGTAGGGGAGGATTTGCAGTTTCCCCTCCCAGGGCAGAAAACTGCTCCAGGGGATGCCCCTGCCCCACCTTCAGTTCCCATCCAAGTGATACTCATGTGTCATCTCAAAATTTGGGGGAAGTGGAGGTAGGACTGCAGGAGTTGAAGGTCAGCCTGAACTAACGAACCTGTTCCAACAGAAGAATCAGGGTGGATCCTGCACCTGGTCCTAAATGTCACAGCAGCTAGGAGCCTCAGGCTTGCTGCTTGGGCTCTCTCAGGACTTCACGCCTCTAACCCTTGGGGTTCCCTGCCCAGCCTAGCTGTACTGCCCCTCAGTGACAGGTTGCTAGCCCTCCTACCATTTCTCTGGGGCCTTGCTTTTGTGGGGTGCAGTTCAGCCCTCCTGGGGTCCCTGCTGGCTTGTGGTGCTCATCAGAGCTATGTTGGAACTGTGGCTCCTGTGTGTCCCCTTCCATCCCTAGGACCCACTAGGACTCTCCCAAGGCAACTTCCCGGGCACTGCTTCCTTGGGGGTGTCTTGATATGGGTGAGGGGCAGGAGGGAACTGACCATCTACCCTCCACAGACCATCAAGTGCCTGCTGATCCACCCAAACCCCGAGTCTGCACTCAATGAGGAGGCAGGCCGCCTGCTGCTGGAGAACTACGAGGAGTACGCAGCACGCGCCCGCCTGCTCACCGAGATCCACGGTGGCGCAGGTGGGCCCAGTGCCAGGATCCCTGCTGGGGCCACTGCAGCTGCCTCGGCAGACCCTGCCACCATGGGTGGGGCTGAGGGTCCCATGGCCAAGAAACACGCAGGGGAGCGGGATAAGAAGCTGGCAGCCAAGAAAAAGACGGACAAGAAGCGGGCCCTGCGACGGCTGTAGGCCCTCCTGTTGCCCTTGTCCTCCTTCCTTGTCTCTAAATTATTTAAATTATGGCTGGGTGGGCTGGGGGGTACTGGGGTCTGGATTTGGTTTTCTAAATAAAGTTGGAAAAGCAGCATGTGCCTGGCAGGCTCCCAGAGAGGTGAAGTGAAGGGTGGTCACAACATCTGTAGGGTAAGGCACCTTGTGGTCCTGTCTGCTCCGGTCCCATCTGCAGGTCTCCGTCACCACCACCTACTAGGCTTAGGACAGCTCAAGGTGCCCGGCAGCTCCCAGTTTTAAGAGGGCTGGGCTAGAACTGAGGGTCTGGAGTTAGGTGATGGCTTCAACTCTGGCCCAGGGCAGGAGGGACTGCAGTGGTGTCTGCTCACACCCTGCTTAGGGGGTTACCTCCCTGTAGCTTATTCTGGCTTCAGTCTGTGGGCAGAATAGAATCCCCAGAACACTAAGCAAGAAACACAAGTTTTTTTGTTTTTTTTTTTAAACGTCCTGGGAGACCTTGCTTTCAAGCCCTACAACCTTTAGTGGGAAATACTGGGTGACCCAGCCAAGATGTAGAGCAGCCCATCCCCAAGGCGGAACATGGCAGGTGATCCACACCCAGCCGCAGGCCTCTCCTGTCATAGGGTCCCTCAGCTTCCAAACCCTGGTATGGCCCCAGCAGTCTTACAGGCTGAAGTTGGAAAAATGCCCCATCCCAAGCCAGTCCTGTGTGATGCCACTGCTCCCCCCACACAGCAAGCTGACACTTTGTGACATAGCCAAGGACCACAGGAGAGCTCTTTATTACTGGGGGTGGCTCAGGCACTCTTGGTGGGCCGGGTCCGCTTCCTCTTTACCATCACGGGCTTCTGGCTACGCAGGATGGCGCTGGCTCTGCGGATAGCAGCCTGCAAGGGAGGACAGAGTCCATTGAAGTGGGTGCAGCGGACCCCCATCCTTACCCACCCTGGGATGGGCCCAGCCTCACCATGCGCAGGTCCGGGCGGTACTTGTTCTTTCGGATCATGTGGCGGATGCTGCTGAGGGTGGCGCGTGCATTCTTGTTGATGGTAGTGCGCACATAGGAGGTGGCTGGCTTCCGCTGTCCTGAAGGGGACTCTCATCAGCCAGCCGTCAGGGCCTTCAGGAGTCTCCCTGGCATCCTCACCCAAGAACCAGGGAGCTCACTGGCAGCCCCACAACCTGGGGGGTCCCTGCACACACTTAGCCAGAACCCAGACCATACCACCCTCCACTTGACAGCACAAACTTAAGGCCGCACATGTAGCAGAGCTGCTGTTTCAATTAGGCCACAAAACACCAGACTGGAGGCTGCAGGACCCTGGCCAGCTGGGGGGATGGGAGGCGCAATCTAGGCTCCTCTGCCATAATAAAAAAACAAGCGACTCCTCAAGCAGGCCTGGGTGGTGCAAACCTGTAATCCCCCTGAATCAAGTCCAAGCCCACACTGGGCAACTGAATGTGACCCATCCTCCTCATGAAATTTTAAGGGGGCTGGGGCTGCAATTCAGGCCAACTCCCCCTGCCCCCTCCCCCAAGAATACTAAGAGAGCCCTGCTTCTCTATCCTTTTTTTAGTACTGGGGATCGAAACTCAGGACCTTGTGCTTGCCAAGCAGAAACTTAGGCAGCTGAGCTATCTCCCCAGCCCCCTGCATCTCCTTGATTTCCTTTCAAAGGCGCTTTGGGGAAACCCCAAAAGGCTTGTCTGTGGCACAGAGCACGATGGAGAGGCTCCTGACACCCCATGTAAGGTGTGAGGCAGCTCCTTCGCAGTTGACCTCTTACCTTAGCAACTCCCAGATGAAAAGGTCCACTTGGACTGAGCTGTCTCAGGATTTAAATTCTTTTTCATTTTTGAGTGGGGCCCTATGCCTTGACTGTCAGGCTTGCCTTGAACTCCATGGCGCTCAGGCTGGCCTCAATCCTCCTGCCTCTGGGAATTTCAGCACAAGCTTGAGCCACGCACCTGGTCACCCCATAGACTTAACTGTCTTTCTTTTGCGGGGGCGGGGCCGGACCGGGGATTGACCTCAGGCCCTTGCGCGCTTACTCTGAGCCATCTCCCTGGCCCCATTAACTCCGAGTCTTCAACAGACCCAAGATAGAAACTTGCAGAAGGAAAAAGGGAAACGAGGGCTGGAGAGATGGCTCAGTGGTCTAGGGCACCTACTTGAAACAAGCTTGGCAAAGCACAGGGACCTCGGTTCGATCCCCCAGCACCACATGCCAGCCAGCTGCGCCCCCTGGTGGGCTGAGCTGGCCACACACACACACACACACACACACACACACACACACACAATAAATAAATGTAATAAATAAAAAAGAAAAAGGGAAACGAGTTACCCATCAGACTGGACTTCAGCGGATAAAGGTAAAGACAGACAAAAGCAATACCAGTGCCTGACACAGCCCACTGAACGAGATTACTGCACAGCAAACATGCGAAGAGCTTCTGGACAAACTCAGAAGGTGAAGAAACAGCGAATGCCCCAGCCATTCAGACTGTCATTTGCAAGATAACTGTCGTAACTTCAAATTCCATTCGTTCAGACAAGATCAGGAACACTGAGGGTGGTACGGCCATGGACCCACTAGTTCAAAAGGCATGGCGTTCCTGTTTCTTACTGATGTGGCATTTGACGTCTCTGCGCAGTATGAAAGCTCCCTCCCCCATGTCATGGTTTCCGGTTTGTCAAATCAGTCTTGTCTTTTTATATAGTACTTACATTTTTTTCACTATGAAGTTATACATCTTTACAACGAAGTAGGAAATAGATGAATTCACTGCTAATTTTAATACTTATTTTAAAAAATAATTATTGGGTACTGGAAACTAAAACTGAGATAACCAATTGTGAGCGTTCTATTTTACTTTATTCATTTTACAAAGTTATAATTGGCTTTTATGTTTTTGTGTTCTGTAGCTATAATTTTAATTAGCAATTTTACATCTCCCCCCAAAAAAGAAAAAGATTTAACTCTGCAAACGCCACACGACTGGAGGGGCCAGGTGCGCAGCGCGCCTTGGCTCCGTCTCTGCGGTCCTGGCGAGGCCACAGGCCAGGAGACCCGCGCGGCTCGCCAGGGGCGCGTCGGCAGCTGCCCCGGGCACGTCCCAGCGCGGGCGGGAGGCGCTCCGCCAGGCGAAACCGGCCTCTGAGCGTCAGGAAACCACCCAGCTCCTCGCCGCAAGGGCCTCACTCACCGGATCTCCGCTTCATGACCACCACGACCCCCTTGCCATCGGCCGCCGGCTCCACGCCCACCGTCTTGCGGTGAATCAGCCCGTTGTAGCGAAAGGAGTTGCGGGCTTTCAGGTTATTGGGCTCCTGCGAACGCGAGGCAAGGCGGGAGGATAAGCCCGCAGATGCCGGGCTGGGGCCCCGAGGCGCCCCAGCAGGGCCGTGCGTCCGGGTCCGCTCACCGTGCTGTACGTCTGCTTATTCCGCTTGATGAGGAAGCTGGAGCAGTTCCGCACTACCATCCACTGCAGGTGGGCAGACATGGCGGGGGCTACGAGATGGGCACAAGGAGGTCAGAGGAGCAGGCCGGAGGCCCTCCCGGCCGACAGCAGGGGCAAGGCACTGGGCCCGGGCACCTGAGACCGCCGCGGGCCTAGCTCACGCGGCGGCGGGGGAGCGATGGGGCCAAGGGAGCGCGCGGTGCCACAACTTCAGGTGGCGGAGTGCAGGGGCGCCGAGGACGCCCGCAGGCCGGAAGCAGAGGGCAAACGGGTCAGGACCGAGCGCGGAGGCACGTCAACAGCCACGCCGGGCGCGCGGACGGCACACACTCACCTCCTCTCTCTGCTGAGGCGGGAGACGGAAAGAGGCGCGTGGGACGGGGCGCCGCCTTTAATACCGCATACGCATTTCCGCTTCCTCTCTGCGCGCGCGCCGGAAGTAACTCGCTGGGTCGCCTCCGCGTTTGCCTAGTCTCCGAGGCAGCTCGGTAATTTTCGGCTATTTCCGTACAGCTCATGCACCTTAGAAAAAAATGTTCGGCTGTTGGTGTTGGAACGAGTGCTGTTCTTGCGCCTTTCGTTAAATTTTCGGAATTCCTCAGCTAGACTTCCGAATGCAAATATCGAGAAGCACAGAGATCTATTTCTCAGTAACATGGGTCAACTACTGCTTACTCAATGCCTGGACTGTCCCTGGCACACGATGGGCACTAAATAAGCGCTTGTTTTTTTCATGAGCCCGTGAATGCAAGGACCATAGCCCCAACAAGCTCGGAAGCTTCCGGTTTTCTTCGCAAGCCCTCGACTTTTCCCTGCTCGGACATTTTCGGAAATCCCCGGAAACGCAGCAGGCGCAGCCAGCCGCCTTGCCCAGTTTTCCCTTGCCGAGTTCGGGTCTGTTCGGAAACACTCGGCCCCTTTTCGGTCACACTGGGAATTCTTCCGCTGAGCCCGGAAGCCCTTAGCAGTTCGTACTCCCCAGGGTCTTCAGCTCTAAAATCTAGTTTGGGGACAGTCCAGACGGAACTGTGTGGGCGGCTTCCCTCCAGGAAAAGTGGGTTCCCTCTGAGAGCGACCTGTTGGGACGAAAGCTTTGAAGTGACAGCGCCTGGTTCCCTTTAAGGGTTCCGCACCAGTTTGCCTGGATTCTTCCCTGCGCCTCACCGCGTCCCGCCCCGAGTTCCCCGTAGTCACCCTCAGAGCTCCCTGGAAGTTTGTTGACTGCGTCAGGGCCATTCTGGGGGAGCGTGGGCCTCGGCAGCCCAGGCTGGTGCCGCGGACCTCCGGTGCTCCGCTTGACAGCACGGTGACCATGTCGTGTCGGTGGGAGCACCTTCCCGGCGGCGCTGGGAACGGAAGCAGGGCTAAGGCAGGTCCCCAGCCCTTTTCACTCTGAGACCGGTTCCCGCTAAGGTGTCCACGCAGGACTCGAATCCGCTGTCTCACTGCCTCAGCCTGCCGCGTCCGCCCTGGCTATCCGTGGTTTCTAGGCTCACCTGCGCCCACCATGGGGCCTAGAGGCGGGCACTACACAGACGCAATGCCGGCTTCCTCCTAGCGGCGTCCTGAAGGTTGCGTGTGTCTGTGTGTGGCTGTATCTGTGTGCGTCCAGGGGCCAAACCCAGCGTGGCTGTACCACTGAGCTGCACCTCCAGGCCCAGGAGGGACTTGATCGCGCGACCCTCCTGGCTCCGCCTCCTGCAGTGCTGGAGTTACATCCTCAAGTTTAACCAGGAGTGGCAGCCCCGCCCGGGCCCGCCAGGTGCCCGGCCCAGCTCAGGTGACCGCGGACGCCGGGCACACCTGCCGCCGTCGCTGACCCCGCCGGCGCCCGCCGCACCCC